CAGGAGGCCAGTGGAAGAGGAGCAGCTGGGGAAGATGAACCCAGACGATGTCGTCAAGTACCTGCAGAAGTACAGCCAAGCTCTGGTGCTCTACTTAGAACATCTGGTGCTGGAGAAGAGGGTGCAGGTAGGCCGGCCTTGAAGACCACAAACGGGGGAGGTGAGCGTGGAAGGAGATTAAAGGATTGTGCTGTATGAGGTCATCCCAAGTGGGAGCCCCAGGAAGGTATAACCCAGCTTTTCTACCAATGAAGCAGAGCTACTGAGATCTATATTCATAGGCGTTTCCATTTCTCTGATCTCTGTAGCGTTGGTTAAACTTTGAATGATGAAGATCAGGTCTGAACCCAGATGTTTGAAGTCGTTTCCCTCTACCGTTAGGGTTACGGTTAGGGTTAAAATTTACCCATGAATTAGGAAAAAAGTGGAAGTCATTCATCTTTGTAATAGTGTGTGAAGGTGCCTTAAGGCTTATTGGCCACCAGCCATATGGGACTGACAGTTGTGTGTAAATGCCTCTTCCTGTCCCCCCCACCCCCCACCACCGCAGAAGGAACGCTTCCACACCCAACTGGCCACACTGTACCTGGACAGAGTGCTGAGCCTACTGGCCGCGAGCCCCCCCCCAGTGGAGGAGGTGACAGAAGCTCGGCGGCGACTTCAGCTCCTGCTCAGGGAGTCCAGCCTGTACCGGGTTCAGTGTCTCTTGGGTGAGCCCATCCTTCCAGTGCCTGACAGTGGGCTCTGGCTTGTAGCATGTAGCGACCGGGTTCCTGGTGGCATGTGGTCACGTGACCGTGTTCCTTGCCCCCCCCCCCACAGATAAGATGGGGGAAGCAGAGCTTCTGCAGGAGAGAGCAACGCTGCACGGCAAGCTGGAGGAGCACAAAGAGGCGCTGCACATCCTGGTGCGCCGGCTGAAGGACGCGTCCGCCGCGGAGGGGTACTGCGTGTGGGCGTCGGCCTCACGTGGCTCCGCCTACCGCCAGCGCCTCTTCCACCTGCTGCTGGGGCTGTACCTGGAGCCAGGCTCGGCGGGCGACGTCCAGGCCGTGCTGGCGGTGGATCTGCTGAACCGGCACGCGGACGCCTTCGATGCAGTGGCAGTGCTGCAGGTGCTCCCCGAGGGCTGGTCACTGCAGCTGCTGCGGCCCTTCCTGAGCCGGGCGCTGAGGGAGACCATGCATGGCCGCCGTACTGCGCAGCTGGCGCTGGGGCTGGCGCGCTCTGAGAACCTGCTCCTCCACCACGACAGGGTGAGTGCGTCTAGCCCTCTGGGGTCTGGGTTTCAATCCTGCATCCACTCTGAATGTGCGCAGTTTTATTCCCACTTTCTCCTTATGTCACATAGGCTTGTTTCTATAGTTCAAGTATGTGAAATGGCATCTGTGTCCCTGTGTGTGTGTGTGTGTGTCCGTGTGTGTGTGTGTGTATGTGTGTGTCCCTGTGTGTGTGTGTGTATGTGTGTGTGTGTGTGTGTGTGTCACTCACAAAAGCAATCCATTACGGAAATGGAAAGTTCAGGGCCAAGAAGTATGAATCCAGCCAAGGTTCTGTTTCAACCAACCAGTTCAATACTCTGTGACTGTCACTCTTTATACTCAAACTGGTTGGTTGATGCAAAACCTTGTTCTGGATTTGTTCGTTTTGGACCTGAGCTACCTCTGTCTGTGATGATTGCTTTTGTGAGTAACTTCCCCAGCACTGTGCGTCTGTATCTGTTTGTCTGTTTGCCTGTGCAATGGATTGGCATTCCATCTAAGGTGTTCCCTGGCCTGCGCTCCCTGCAATAGCCTCTATGCTCATCATGCCCTAGGTATGCAGTTATGATGGGTGGATGGGTGGATGGATGTCAGGTATTTAGGCCAGAAGGGTAATCTGATTCTCCAGGTCATTTTTATCGTTCAGATGTCCTTTATTGTCATTTTAGTGTCTTTGCATGCATAATAAAATTACGTTATATTAATAAGGCATTGCAAGCAGGTCTTCTGCTTAATAACCCTGATACATGTTGTTTGCTTCCCAGCTGAAATACCAGGGAGGCCCCATCTTTGTGTCAGAGAAGAAAGGCTGCCATTTGTGTCACAACACCTTCAGCGAGCCCGACTGCGTCTGCCTTCCAGGGGGTGTGGCAGTGCACACGCACTGCGCCGCCCAGAGGGCCAGAGACTCACCCAGCAAGAGACACTGCGCCAATCCCAGCAGCCACACATGAGCCGCCCCTCCCTCTGATCACCCCACCCTCCTGTAGAGGCCCCGCCCAGAAAATAGGTAGCGAAAAGCCACTCTTTGGTTCTTGTCAAAGTCCAATGCGGGGCTAAAAGCACAGCCAGGCTGGGGGGGGGGGGGGGTTGACTCGACAGGATCAGCTCTGGGAGCCACCCTGGGACCCGGGTGCCAATGGAAGCCTTCAGCCGGAAGCGGCACACGTGTGCGTGAATTTACTCCCGTCCTCTGCCTGTGCACAGAAGCGGCGATCACTGACGGCTCGTCAGCACTTTTAGATAAAAGAACCACTGCACAAAACTATGACCTTAATCCAAAACGTTCCCCTACCAGCAAGGGCTGCACCTGCATTGGGACCCGCTCTGCAGTTACTGCCCGCACCCAGGCCGTCGCCTTGCTCTCTCGCGTACGGTGCCGGTCCAGTTTGTGTCCCACTGTCCAGAAGCCCTTGTCTGTCATTCTCACCGCCTCTTTCTCCAGCTCCGCGCTCCATCTGCTTGAGTGCAGGTCCGTCGCTCGTGCATGGGACGGTTTGCTCTGCCTCTCCCCATCTGTCTCTTTTGTTTAGTTTGCCATTCAACAGGGTAAATGCTTTATGTTATTTTCTTCTATATTTGCTCAGTCTGCAAAGAAAAAAAGGATTGTAAAAGGTGAACTTACGTTTTTGCACTTTTCTAATGCAAGTGTCCGGTTTAACCATGTATGCTAGGCCATGTCTCAGGTTTAGTCATGATTGGGTGGTTCCCAGCTATTACAGTTATTATGGTATGTACAGTTACTGTGACCTTTTCTGTGATCTTTCGGGATTGGATGGTCGATATAAGCACTATAACGTTCCCATCAGTCCTGTTGTAATATGTTTACGGTCCTGCTAGGCAAAAATTTAAAGTAACAGGACTCCTTAAAGCCCAGAGCTGCTGTATGTCCCTGCTCCCTGGTCAGTTTACAGGTGCATAGAGAGTGACTTGCATGTTTCTCTCGCGTGACACCCTGCAGGGGTGCGGAATGAACCACTGGGCCGCGTGACGGGGTGGTAGTTTTTGTGCAATGTGAAAACAGCATCCTGTATCTTAGTCCAACATCATTTGCTGATGTACTGAATTGTGCCTGATCTGGGGAAGAGGTATAACTGCGGATTGTATGAGATCTGCGCCGAGCACAAAACTGACAGGCTGCCATGTTAGAGAGAAAGCCCCCCCCCCTTTGTATTGGTTTGCTTCGCAGTTTTTGGTTATGCCCTTTTCCAATCAGAGACCCCTCCTGACTTCCTGTTTCCTATGCGAGTGCGAAACTCCATCACGATTCAGTCACTCTGGAATTGGGTAGGCTGTCAAATGGCGGCGGGAGTGATATCTGAGAGAAATATGTTTTTGAGTCTAAATGGCAGATTCCAGAAGGGACAAGTTATGGGCAAATTGCTGTTCAGATGGGGCAGCCTTGCTGTGGGGGGGAAACCAGGCCCACGGTGACTTTGGGTGGTTACATGCCGATCAAAGACGGAAGATATGTAACTCTCAGTGCAGTAGCAACATACACACACTATTTCTGTCTACTTTTGTATGAAGCACAGGTGCACATTTTGACCTTTGATGTGTCTGATTTTGACCCTGTTCTGTTGAATGGGGCATTCAGATAATTGCCATGTGAAAGCAACAGAATCTGCGTCATGTTTGAAATTTGGGAACGCAAAGCATGGACATTAGTGTGTGGGGGATGGGGGCTGTCTGGGGGGGTCGGTCCGTCCGTACGTCATTTTATTGATCAGAATGTTTCCTCCGTCTCTCGTGGAAAGCTGACAGCCTCTTTCATTCACATCATAGACAGCATTTGTTGGGAAATAGAGCTTCGACGACTAACTTCAAATGGTTTACGGTAATCCTCTGTTCCTTTAGAGTAGTATTTCCAAATCTGTTCTTTGGGGACCCACAGACAGTCCAAATTTTTGGGAAGGAGCAAAAATGTGGACTGTCTGGCAGGGAGCAAAAATATGGACTGACTGGGTTGCAGAGGACCAGATTGGGAATCACCGCTTTAGAGAATCTCCTCTTGACTGTTGGGCATGTCAGTTTGTTTTTAGAAGTTTCCCACTTGTACTGACATAATGGGCAGAAAATACTTGACAATTTTTGTTTTATTTTTAGTCGTGAGTCAGTTCTATCAGATCGCCGTATAGCTGATCTTGCGAAGCTAAGCTAACCGCTTTGTCTCTGTCCAAGGAGTAGTTCCTGCAGCCATTGCCCAGTTCAGCCAGTGTTGACCTCTCCAGTTGGTGTTCATCCGCAGGTGTCCCGTGGGATGATGCGTTCATGCTTCCCCGCCCTAACCTTTAACTAATGAACAAATAACGTTGTTTTCATGTTTCTTCCTTCGTGTCCCATCCTGCCCTGTGGCTTTTTTTTCTATCCGTTGTAGTACTTTATAAATATATAGAAACCTGTGTATATATTTATATCGTGTTGCTTTGTAAATTCATGCCAATGTAGGTGGAATGTATAAAATGTCCATTTTAATAAATGACTAAATTATAATGCATGTTCTTGTTTTCGGTAAAAGCCGCTTTGTTGTTTTTAGTTTAATAGGTTCCCTTTACCTGGGTGATTACTGACCATCAGAGGTTTACTTCATTTACAAAAATGTGTGAAATACTCATTCATTTCAAAGCTGTAAAGTGATCATGCAGTCACTGGTTCCTCACTCATATAACAACCTTAAAATTTTTATTAGCCAGTAATGATTCTGAAGATTTACGATTAAAATGAGTGAAACAGAGACAGTTTCCTGAATGTATACATCAGATTTATTTTTTCCCCTTTTTTTTAATTTGATATTCCAGAAGAGACTTATCCAATTTATGAATGACGAATCAGTCATTTTATCACTCACGGGGTCACAGCTGGTAACAGTAAATTACAACATTTGTATTACAAGACGCACCAACTCTGAAAGGGTCACTTCTTGTGGGGTCGCATTTACGTGGTTGTGAAGTGAGAGAACCAAATGTGCCAAAAAGACAGTAAAGGTGATGCACAGGGCAACTTTTTGAGCAATGTTGCTGGGCAATTGCCAACCAAGTGAGGCAAAGGGCAACTTACCTGGATCTGGATGATCCCAAATAAGTTCTTCAAATAGAAATTTGTTGCTTATTATCAATGAGGAAGTGCCCAAGCAACATTGCTTGAAAAGTTGCCCTGTGTATTCTCACCCTAATGGTAACAGCGCTCACGTAAGGTTGGCCCACTGTGTAGAGGAAATGATGTGGATGAGCATCAGGAAACTCTGGACGAGGTTCATACATTCACAGACACCAAAGACTTTTCAAACTATCAAAGGGTTGGATAGACACACCACCATTTGCCTACAGTGTGCACTAATGGATACGAAAAGGTTATCTACAGACAAGAAGTGGCCTATAAACACAGTTCGCTCTTTTTTGGTACATCAAAAACATTTCCATTGTCAAGGACGTTCACGATACTCTACGACTCGACAGGGGGAAGGTGCGTGTTTCTGAGATTAGGGGCCAGAGCTTGTGGGGCTGAGAGGGTGTGTAGAGGGTGGAGAAGGGTGCAAAGACAATTCCTTACACGGCTGATTGGGTTTCACCGCACATGTAGAGGTTGCTGGGGCGGATCCTCCGTCGACTGCGTCCCGGAATCTTGGGGAAGATCCTGCAGGTCTTAGGCATAAACTCCAGGCAAGCTTCCCTAAACTTCCTGATTCTCCAGCAGTAGATGATGGGGTTAAAGACGGTCTTCAGGTAGCTGAGCCACAGTGCCCCCACACTGATGGGGTAGAACTTGGGGCTGAAGTAGAAGCTGCTGCTGAAAACCGCCAACAGACTGACCACGGTGTGTGGCATCCAACACACCGAGAAGCCAATGAAGAGGATGAGAATGGTGGTGAATGCCCGTGTCTTGAAGCTTACGTCCACGTTGACCTGTGGTGGCCTCTGGAGACCAGTCAGGCCCAGCTTGCTGACCTGGTTGAGGCAGAGGCTCTCGGCGTGGTTGTGGATGCGCAGGGCGTTGCGGCGTACCGTGTTGAGGATGCAGAGGTAGGAGTAGAGCATGACGCCGAACGGCACGAAGAATACGGCGACCGCCAGCAGGACCATGTAGCCACGGTCTGCCAAGGACTCGCTGTAGCCCAGGACGCACTGCAGGGGCCGGGTTGGCACCTCCACCACGGTCCAGCCCACCACGGTGGGCAGGGACACGAAGAAGGACAGCATCCAGGAAGCGCCGATCATCACCTTGGCACGGTGTGGCGTCAGCTTGTCCTGCCGCTGGACAATGATGAGGAAGCGGTCCACACTGATGATGAGGAGGATAGAGACGCCCTCCAGGACAAAGAACCAGTAGAGCATGACAGACACGCGGCAGAACTCGCCACCAAAGTGCCAGTCAGCAGAGATGACAGTGACCGCCGTGAAGGGCATACAGAGGAGCGAAAGCATGATGTCGGAGAAGGCCAGCGTGGCTAGGAGCAGGTTGATGGCAGAGCGCATGGCTGGCTTCTGGTAGACAATGAGGCACACAATGGCGTTGCCCATGAAGCCGATGCCAATCATGCAGATCATGACAGCAGCCAGCACCACCCTGAGCGTGATGGGCATGATGAGAGCGTACTTCTCAGGCAGTATCTCCGTCATGCTGGGGTCCTGCAGGACACACAAGTCCAACGAGCTGCTATTGCAGGCAGCCATAGTTGACATCCAAAGCAAGGTTTGTGCTTACGAAACAGCTGTGTACTTCTCTAATGATATTTTGAATGTTTGTCGTTGCCTAGATGTATATAAACACCCCTTCAAATGCAGTTTGTATGTGATGTTCTGTATGCAATAAATATGCAGTGAGATTGCGTTAAGAATTCTCGTCTCTCTCTGACCACGCAATAATCCTCCATATAAGTCTCCTAAGGACACATCAAACTTTTTGAAAAGCCTTCGGTTCTGGTTGGAGAGCAGGTATTCCCTCAGAGTCTATCCGTCCTCATTCCATCAAGCTGTTGGGTTCAAAAGAAGCCCGAAATGTGATCTGTTCTGGACTCAAAGGGAGCAGAGGATGTGCCTCGAATCCTGAGAGCAGACTGGACGGATGTCTTGGTGCTGCAGCGTAGCTGAGATGCATCACAACATACTCAGTTTGGGTGGGGGGTATTTTCTGCAGGTTCTCTGTCATAAATCACAGGAGGGTCAGTGGAAGGTTAATTCTGGTCCTTAGTCCACTCGAACGTGCATGACTGGACAAATTCTGGGAAGGGGTAGTTCATGTAGTGGTCATATGTGTCAAAAGATTCCATGATTACTAGTGGTGTTGGCCCGATTAGCTTAGCAATTCTGGATCTTGTTTTGCCCCTCAGAAAGTCTGGAACCATTTCAGTATCTGTATAGAAATACTAGGCTCTAGGGCCACTGTGTTAAAGTGCCATGTACCGATTTGAGAAGGAAAGGGATTCTTCGTTCCTCTGCGCCAGCATCAGCATTTGGCAGCACCAGATTTAAGTACTCAATTCTCCAGTCAAGCCGGCAGACGGAAAACAGCCGTTGCCATGGTTATCTGTCGCGGCAGCATGCCGAGGGACCAGCAGCTTCTCAGAGGCAGGCCGCGAATACCGTCTCACAGATGGCCGACTCTAGGACCCGACCCTCCTCATCGAGCTGCCGACACTGTGCTCGCTCTTTCCTCTCCCATCCACTCACACAGCCGTGGGTTCGAACGATGACGGCAGGGGTGGCTGAGCGGGGAGACCATCCTTCCCCTGTCACCTGGTTCTCTAGTTGCGATTTCACCCAGGAGGAATACTGGGAGGACACAGCAGGACCTGAAGCGATACAAAACATGCCCGTCATGCTGAAGTACACAAAAACACACAGCGGGAAATCGACGAGGGAAGCCTGTCCCTTAAGCGAATATAGCGGACGAACGGTACAGGGTGCAGATGTTCGTGGTTAATTGATTAAACAAAAAATCATTAAGGCCCGTGTTATAATTAATGCCTCCCTTCTGCAAGAAGAATGCATAAGGACCCTGGAATGTTATCAAGAACTCATTATTCTGACTTGAAGTAAGCCTGGCACCTTCATTTATAGAGAATGTGGCAATGCTTTATTTGCAAAATAACAATGCGCTCGAACGCCTCCATCTGTCAGACGCCCGTAGCGAGCGAGATAAAAAATTCTTCAAAATGGCAGTAGTTCTGAATTCCACGCCTGGGAATATTCCTCTGAGCCACGCATACGGATGGCATAAAAAGCCACGGGAATTAAAATACCGCAATAAATATATAAATAAGCCGTTGTAAATTTCGCGACGACCTTGTAATGAGAAATTGTTGTACGATCTTTTTTATTTGCTGCCAAGGCAACCGGGTCATCACTTCCATGGCAACCAGAAGATGGCCAGCTCAGAGAATGTTGCCGACACCGTGTTGTCTGGGAGAGGTATTATCCCCCGCCAAAATGCTGACATGCGAGTTCAGTCCTGGAAGGAGATCTAAATGTGCACTACATTCACACAGGGAAACCCAGCCAGGGCGTGAGTCTGTGTGGTAAAAAAATGAAACCGCGCGATCGGGTCCAGAATCAAAGCACAAGCGGACAAACAGAACAAAGACGACATGCATAGTAATTTGGTGCTATAATGACATGAAAGCTAATATGCAAACATGTCCAGCAAGCCACAGAGGACAGATATCTCTTAGCAGAATGTCCATAAGATCATTGGCAAAACTATTTCATGCACCAATCAGGAGAATCACAAAATGCATAGTGGCACAACCAGGGTCTGGATTGAGAAACCAGTATGATATGATTTCTTGGAGCCCAAAATCTCTGACAACCCCTGGCACAAACGAAAACATAACTCTTATTTTTACTATACAGATTACAACATGTCTGTGTTTACATTGTAGAGATTTTTTTCCTGGTCAAAAGCACACACACGTGTGTTCTGCTGACACTGCCGCTCTAACATGGCTTTCACACACATGTCACATGATCCTGGCTCACGCCTCGTCCAGCTGCGGTTGTACTGCCGGCCTTTAATGTTTGTAAGTTAGATGGAGGGGCTCTTGTTTGAAAAGCTCACACTCAGTCTGGACAGCTGTGTTTCTGCAGATTGAAGTCGGCAGAACCGTCCTCACTGTGACTCAGTTGAAGCTCTGTTGTGTTTGTGACATTCAAAAAAATGTCGTGCACTCTTGTTCTCGATCCCGGCACAGCGATCAGAAACTTCCACCAACGATCCATCACTAAAGAATCACCACGTAGCATCAACATCTTACATTTTACTCTTTATAGATGAGTAGATAATATTATATAGATTCAAAGGTGGGATTTAATCCCACCTTTCGCAATTCCATGCCCCCATACTGTTATACTGGCATTTCCTCACTGTTCTTGTGGCAGTATTGGTAAACACAAAGTTGATTTACATTCACATCATAGAGTAGATGGTTTTGTCCAAAACAATGGCAAACAGCACAGTCCAGATAAGTTAACATCACAGAGAAGACATGAAGCTAGTGCTGCAATCTACTTACCTTTTATTAACAAAGAGGACAGACATTACCTGGGAAATACACTGGACACGTCAGGCTCTGAGTGGTTTCTCTACCAAAACTACTCCAGCCTACTAACAAAATTAAAGTAATTGAAAATAAATTAAATAAATTATAATTGTTATTATTATTACTATTATTATAACATTGCAAATGGTGTAATAAAAAACAACAATAACAATAATAATAATAATAATAACAATAATAATAATAATAATAAACTTTAGACTGGCGGTCACTTGTGATAATTAGACCGAAATGGCGCCAGCCATGATGGAATTCATTTCGAATGTGGGTCAAAACTGACACCCAAAGTCTACACGAAAATTACTGAGACACAACTGAGAGCTGATTTCAGCCTTGCGGAGGATCAAGAAAACGTAAAAATAAAGCTAGCATTTGGAAATTGGTAGGCTAGTGGTGTAATTCGACAGCGAATAATTTACCGCACGTGAATTTATTACTACATCTTAATAAGGAAATAGCAATTAACCGAGATAATCCTGTGGAACGATCCTCACAATTCACTGACAAATGCGATGTAGTAAAATAGCATGCCAGAAAAGCATACCATCGCATTCAAATAAGCATGCCGTCGTTGAACGAGATGGTTTTTTTTAGGACGGTATTCCTCCACACGTCGTTTTAACCCTCACGCTGAACGTACCTATAAATAACACTGTGAAAGCTCCATTCTCCATATACGGAATACGGACCGACATCAATAGCCGAAAAAAACAGCCTCAGGTAACATCATGCCGTGCAGAAAGGCGCTATGCATTAAAAGGGCAGCGGGAGATGTGCATGGCATACCCACGTCAATGCAAAACGGCGGCGCGGAGACCGGCGCTCGGGCGATCATTCAGCGGGCTTTCCGTGCGCGTCCCCACGCCTCGCAAACCTAGGGGTCCGCAGCGATGACGCGCGACCCACTTCTCGTCATCTGGCGTCGGGTTCCGTGAGCCGGGGGACCGGGTTTCGGCGGCTCGGCGACCTCCGACGGCGGCCGGAGTCTGGCGGGGGTGTCGGCTGACTTAAAGGAAACACGTGAAGCGGAGCAGCCCGCGCTCGCCGACTTAAAACCAGAAGGAAACTAACTGAAAGCATGTCGTATCTGGAGAATAATAATAATAATAATAATAATAATAATAATAATAATAATAATAATAATAAATTTACCTTGAGCACTTAAATTTATCTCCCAAACTATCTGCAAAAAATAATAATATAATAATAACTTAATTGTATTATATTAAATGTGTTTTGTGCTTTAAACAGTTTAAGTTTAAATTTCACCCAAGCATTTTCTAACGATTATCCCGGTCAGGGTCTCGGGCGGGTGGGCATCCTGGACGTGATGCCAGTCCATGGCACATATACATACACACACAATTATGGGCAATTTTGTGACACCAGTTGGCGTAACTCCATGTGTTGTTCTGCCCAAAGGTTCACCGAGGGAGGTTTTTCAGAGTCCTTAACCACCGCAAGATCTGCTTATCTTCTTAGTCAGTGCCATCTAAAACAAACAAGGGTCTCCTTAAAGCTAGAATATTTTAAAACAACGGCGATATGTTAGTGTTTCGGCAACTCCACTCAGATGGAAAGACAACCCTGGGTGCCAGCATGACTGAGTTTGAAGCGGTCATGTTACGCTGTTTCTGTGCTTCAGAAGGCAGGTCATGGTCATCACCAGCTTTTCACTGCCTGCCACAACAAACGACCAACTCCACACGGAAAGGACCCGGGACCGAACTCAGAATCTTATGCCAAAAGTATATTATTCCATTCAAAACCTAAAATTAGCTACATCTCAGGCGTTGTGTTAGTTTGCAAACCCTACAGACTCTTTACACGTCAATACAACGTTCATACTTGTAAATACGTGTGCATGTGCTTGCGGACTTTAAAAACTCGATTTGAAAATCACACTCCAGCCAGTTGACCAAAGTTTGCAACCCTGTGAACTACATGTTCCCACAACAATGTTTAACGTATATATCTTATACATGCACGGGTATATAAGATGTAAAAGTCTGCGTGTATAATGTCGGAGTTCTGATAACTTTGACATTCTGGTAACCCCCAAGAGTAGTCTGTGCATTTTCTTTACAGTTTAAGAACCGCTACACAACTTCTGCAAGAAGTAGACAGAGACTCGGGTACATGTACATCGCAACTAGAATTATTCAAAGTGTTCAAATATCAAGGTAAACACTATGGGTCATGCGTGCTACAGAATCCGGTTTACAGTGTTATACTGCCCCCTGGTGGCACTGATTTGCCATGACTTCCTCACAGTACCTGTTGGTAATTTGCTGAATAGGCATCGATGCGGGTCGCTGTGAACGGAAGCGTACTTTTGTTTTCTCTCAGATGAATTAGAAAGGTTTGTAACATCGGACTTTGAAATTCATTTCCAGGGTTTGTATAGCTTGTTATGTGAAATTGAAGACAGAGGAATATGCATATGTCTGTTCTGAGTGCGGTGAACCCAGACACAGCTGAGCACCGACAAAATGGTTTGCGCCATAGATAACAGTGCAGCTGCACATCACTGGAGTTGAAGGTTAAAATACTGCCATTGATTGTGCATGCAGATTCTGGTGGTGTTTCCAGAGGTTTGCTACAGGTACTGTTACTGTTAGGAATACAGTTAGGAAGGGAAGCATTTGTAAATTACCCTTAGCATCCTGTACTAGATAATGACTTATAGAGGATAGACAGATACATGTTTGCAGCCGGGTGACTGAGGATGGTGACGTCATGAGCATCACAGCACGACGTTCGCGCGGCGCTGAGGAGGGTGAACACCAGGAAAGCGGCAGGTCCAGACAAACAACAAACAACAACAAACAAATTTATTTTTGTATAGCGCATTATCACAACATTACATCGTCTCAAAGCGCTTTACAGCATCCCCACCCAAAGCCCCCAGTGAGTAAGCCATAGGCGACAGTGGCAAGGAAAAACTCCCCAGAAGGAAGAAACCTTGGGAGGGACCAGACTCAAAGGGGGAGCCCATCCTCCAGGGGCCGGCAGTTAGACGGCATCTCCGGGCGCCTGTTGTGCTGACCAATTGTCAGGTGTGTTCACCTCCATCTTCAATGAGTCCCTGGAGAAGTCCGTGGCCCCTATGTGCTTCAAAAGATCCACTATTGTCCCAGTGCCCAAAACCAACAAACCCTCATGCCTGAACGACTACCGGCCTGTTGCACTGACATCGGTGGTTATGAAGGTGTTCGAGGGCGCGTTGAAAAACATCATCTCCTCGTCCATCCCCAGCTACATAGATCCGCTCCACAGAGATCCACAGAGGATGCCATCTCCCACGTCCTGCACACCACTCTCAGCCACGTGGATAAGAAGCAGGGTAACTATGTGAGATTGCTGTTCATTGACTATAGCTCAACACAATAGTGCCTCATAGACTGTTCACAAAGCTGAGGGATCTAGGACTCAACAAACGCTTGTGTGTCTGGGTGTTGGACTTCCTCACGGACAGATCTAACAGTGAGGGTGGGCAGGTGCATCTCCAGCTGCATCACAATCAACACGGGGACTCCACAGGGGTGTGTTCTTTCTCCACTGTTGTACTCCTTCTACACTTCAGACTGTGTGGCCACGCATGACTCCAACACCATCGTTAAGTTTGCTGACGACACGGTTGTGCTGGGCTTCATCACCAACAATGATGAGTCGGCCTATACAGACGAAATGGAGAACCTGGCACTATGGTGTCAGGAAAACTGCCTCCAGCTGAACGTCAGCAAGACTAAGGAGCTGGTGGTGGCCTTCAGAAGGAGACAACATGACCACAGACCCCTCACCATCAGTGGAGCTCCAGTGGAGAGGGTGAGCAGTTTTAAATACCTGGGCATCCACATCTCGGAGGACCTGACATGGACTGAGCATATCTGTGCTCTGACAAAAAGGGCGAAGCAGCGCCTGTACCACCTGAGGTAACTGAGGAAGTTTGGGGTTTCCGTTGCTGTCCTTAAGGCTTTCTACTCGGGCGCTGCTGAGAGAATATCTCACCCTGGTTTGGGAACAGCTGTGTGCAGGACCGGAAAGCCCTCCAGAGAGTGATCCGGGCAGCCGAACGCTGCTGCAGGTTAGCTCTCCCCTCCATGCAGAACATTTACATCAGGAGATGTAAGACCAGGGCAGCTGGGATCATTAAGGACTTGTCTCACCCCAATAACAGACTGTTCAAACCCCTGCATTCAGGCAGAAGGTTCTGTGTCATTATGGCCAAGATGGAGAGACTCAGGAGGAGTTTCTATCCCCAGGCAATTCGACTCCTCAACCAGGACATGCCACTCTCCTGGTCATAGTGTTATGGTTATCAGTTCACCTTACACTGCTGTGCTGACACTGCACACTGCATTTTAACTGGCTATCATGCCACTCTCCCGGTCATA